AGGAGAGGGGGGAGGGGACGTGGGGTTTTTTTTTTGTCTTTTTGTTCCGCTGAGGGGGAAAAAAAAATAAAAATACATATTTTAAGGCGATTAATTAAACAGCACGTTTCTTTTTCTTACAGGGGTTTCTGTTGTCAGTGGCACAGCCTCGAGTCCCTAATGAAAACAAAAGATGTTTGACTAGGGTATATCAGCTTTAAGTACTGCTAAGCCGCACATATTATGATTTATTTGTTCAAAGCGTGTATTAATATGCTCTTCCCGAACCGGTCTCAGACAAAAAAAAAAAAACCCGAGGCGTCATTAGCGCTTTGCTTTGCTGGGAGGGACGGAGGGAGCGCTGCGTTTCTCCAGAGAGCTTTTCTGCATCTCGAAAATAAAAAAAAAAATTAAAAAAAAAAATCTCCTTCTCCAAGGTAGTTAATGCATTAATGAGTCTAATTTTTGCCCAGATGTTTCTGGGTGTTTGCAGGTTTTCCGTGTATTTTTATATCACAAAGGAGCTGGCTCCTGCGATAGCTCAGAGCCTGACAAGCAAATAGATAATCAAGAAGACAAATGGCTTCTTTTGTGAGCCGCAGCTCTTGTATTAATTTTCATTTTCTTTCTCATAGAAAAGTATCGAAAATACCGTTCGGGACGGAATAACGTTCCAGTGCTAAGTTAGAAATATATATATATATATATATATATATAGAAAAACCCGTTGTGCTCAGGGGGGTGGAAACCTCGGCACCAGCTGAAGAAAAGAATCATTTTCTTATACTTACCTCTTATTAAAAAAAAAAGAAAATAATAATAAAAAAAAGAGCTTTGCTTATTTGTTCAGTGTCGGAGGAATTCTCCGAGACCCCCCATCAGGACCGAAATATTCCCCTGCGTTATCCGGAAACAAAGGCCGGGCCCGAAATATTTAAACTAAGAGTGCGCGTTTGTGTGTGTGTGTTGTCCCTGTGGCTGCAGCCGAGTCGCCGCGCGGCCACCTCGCAAATAAAGTGTCCCCAAAAGTCCCCTCCGAACAAAGGGCCGCTGCATTTCCCTTTGTGGTGACATTTTAGCACTTTAAAAATAATATTAATGCAATCGCGTGGCGCGCCTGACACCCGCTGATACAAAAGAAAATGGATTTATGGCCGGATTTTTGTGAACTCTCGCGTTTTCAGAGGCAGCGACTGCAAACCTTTAAAGTTTCTTTTTTTATTTATTTTGGGTTTTTTCCTTTTTTCCGGGGAGGGTGGCGAGGGCTGTGTTTTATTGCGATGCCTGAAGGTTGGGGCGTTTTGTTGTTGTTGTTGCATTTTATTTCGCTATTTCCCTCTTTGATCTGCTGAGGGTTGTAAAGGGGGTGTTATTTTCAGGATAGGCCTTCTAAGAATGGCAAAAAATGGTTGTTTAAAAAAAAAAAAAAAGGCATATGCTTCCAGGAATGCGGGGTCTATAGAAGCAAATCAAAGCTGGAAAGTATGAATAGAATAGAAGGGGGAGAAAAGAAGATTTCTATAGGACCTAAAAGTTCACAGCCATTATAAGCAGACAGAAGCCAAGAAAAATGCGAGAATTATACAGAAAATCATTAATCACTTCTTTTCTTTAAATACTTATCCTTTTCCCATTGTTATTCAACAGCAAATCTCCGCAGACCGTCTGTTGGGAAAAAAGCACCCGGAGCCCTCCAAGAATCTTCAGGGGGAAATAATAATATTAATAATAAAATCTGGATCGTAAAGGTGAAAGCTTTATTTTCGGGGGAGAAAAAAAAAACCCCAAAATCAAACGCCCCCCACCCCCCGAGCCGCCCCCTCCCCCCAGACCTCTCACTTTTGGAAGA